TCAAGATTTCAAAGGGTGTCCCATTGAGGAGGAAAGGGAAAACTGAATTTCTGCTGCTCTAGAGATCAGGGCACAAGGGTGCAATGGGTTGAAATGGCAGGGAAAGAGACTCAACTGAAAAGATTAGGAAGAACTTCCTGGAGAGTGGCCTAGGCTGCTCCGGAGTGTCTCCTTCTCTGGAGGCTTTTCAGCCGAGGCTGTCTATCAGGAGTGCTTTGATTGTGCCTTCTTGCATGTCAGGGGGTTGGACTAAATGGCCCTTGGGGGTCTCTTCCAGCTCTATGATTCTATATCAAGAGTAGGCAATACAGAGTCTAATGGATACACTTTATCTCTCCCTTCCACCATCTCATTTTGACCAAGGCCAACCCTTTTGTGATCCAAGCATTTCCTGTCTTTCCTTCACTTTCTGCCTCTGAAAGAGGAGAGGAAGCAGAGGAAAGGGCAGGGAGGGGGCTTGGAGAGAACTTCCTGGCCCACCCACCCTACTCTGACCCACTATGCGCCCCCAAGTTAGAAAGTGTGCCCATGCCTGTGATAGCCAGACATGGAAATAATAAAAATTATAGTCTGTATAACCAGCATTGAAACTATCAAATGGGGCTAGTTAGAATTAATATGGAAGAAGAAACAAGAAACAATAGGGTTAAGGCCATTGTGGTTTGGTTAGTTTGGAGCTCAAGGTTTGAATCCCCGTTTGGCCATTGAAACCAGCTAGATGACCACACTGTCTCAGCTTCATCGAATCTCTCATGTCTTGACCTTATGATAGATTAGCTGTGAATCGGAAACAACTCGAAGACACACAAGAACAGGAACTGAGGGAGATTGAATTCCAGTTTGAAAACATCAGATGAAGTAGTGCCAGATAGACAAATAGGAATCTATATAAATAAAAATATTATGTTCATTTGTGGGATTAACATAACTCAAAAACCACTGGACAAATTGATACGAAATGTGGACACTATACCCCTAACAGACCAACGAATGACCATCACTCCTAAACACCCCCCCCCCCAAAAAACAGCAGAAAGGCCTTAAAAACCCAAACGTTCAATGATATAGAAAAAAGGAAAGGAAGAGGGAGGGAAGGGGAAAAAGAAAGAGAGAAAGAGGGAGAGAAAGAAAGAAGGAAAGAGAGATGGAAGCAAAGAGCGAAGAAAGGAAAGAGGTAGAGCTGGAAGAAAGAGAAAAAGGAAGGAAAAGAAAAAGGGGAGGAAGGAAAAAGATAGAGAAGGAAGGAAGGAGAGCAGGAAAGAAAAGAGGAAGCGAAGGAAGGAGGGAAAGAAGAATAGAAAGAGAAAGAGAGAGGGAAGGAAAGAAGGAAAGAGAGAAGGAAGGATGGAGGCAAAAAGCGAAGGAAGGAAGGAAATAAGTAGAGAAGGAAGGAGAGAATGAAAGAAGAAAAAGGAAGGAAGGAGGGAAAGAGGGAGTGAAGGAAGGAGGGAAAGAAGGAGAGAAAGAGGGAGGGAAGGAAAGAAGGAAAGTGAGAAGGAAAGATGGAAGCAAAAGCAAAGGAAGGAAGGAAAGAGGTAGAGAAGGAAGGAGAGACTGAAAGAAGACAAGGGAAGGAAGGAGGGAAAGAGGGAGTGAAGGAAGGAGGGAAAGAAGGAGAAAAAGAGAGGGAAGGAAAGAAGGAGAGTGAGAAGGAAGGAAGGGAGGAAAGAGGTAGAGAAGGAAGGAGAGAGTGAAAGAAGAAAAGGGAAGGAAGGAGGGAAAGAGGGCGCGAAGGAAGGAGGGAAAGGATTAGAAAGAGGGAGGGAAAGAAAGAAGGAAAGTGTGAAGGAAGGATGGAAGCAAAAAGCGAAGGAAGGGAGGAAAGAGGTAGAGAAGGAAGGAGAGAATGAAAGAAGAAGAGGAAAGGAAGGAAGGAAGGAGGGAAAAAAGGAGAGAAAGAGAGAGGGAAGGTTGGCCACAGCAATGTGTGGCGGGTACAGCTAGTGAATGGATAAATCTGAATAAGGGTTTTGGGTTTGTTGGGAACCGGGAGTGTGGAAAGAGTTCAGGGAGAAGTGTTGTTTGTTTTAATTGGGGTGTTACATTATATCATACGACCGGATGTTTTTCTTGTCACTTAATAAATATTTACTGTTATTGTTTGTATCTCTGTCTGGATGTCTGGGATTTTATTTATCATGTCAGAAGCGAGTTGAGGATACAATTAAAATATATTTAAAACACAAACAAAGTTAAAAACTTGGCATGATACTAAATGTCCTTTGACTAGAAGCTGGCCACTTGGAGTGCCTCTGGTGTCTCTATGAGAAGGCCCTCCATTGTGCATGTGGCAGGGCTTAGGCTGCATTGTAGTGGGTGGTCTGTGGTTTGCTCTCCTTCACACTCGCATGTCGTGGACTAAACTTTGTGGCCCCATTCCTTAAGGTTGGCGCCAGTAAGCAGTCTGTTTAGTGTCTTCCAAATCGCTCAGTCTTCTGTGTACCCAGGAAGGAGTTTCTCAAGCAGCTTTGGCCACTGATTGAGGTTCTGGATTTTCGCCTGCCACTTTTGGACTCTTGCTTGCTGAGGTGTTCCTGCAAGTATCACTGTAGATCTTAGGAAGCTGTTTCTTGATTTAAGGCGTTGGTATGCTGGCTGATATCCAAACAGAGGATGGTCTGGAGATGTCACTGCCTTGGTCTTTTCATTATTGGTTGCTACTTCCCAACAGATATCAGGTGGTGCAATACCGGCTAAACAGTATAATTTCTTCAGTGGTGTTGGGCGAAGACATAATGCGTCATGTCTCATTAAGAGCCACATCCACCATTTTAGCATGGTGAGATGTATTCCACACTGGGCATGTGTACTCAGCAGCAGGGTAGCAAAGCGCAAAGGCAGCTGTCTTCATTGTGTCTGGTTGTGATCCCCAGGTTGTGCCAGCCAACTTTCATTTGATATTATTTCTGGCATTGATATTCAAGCAGTGCTTTTTGTAAGTCAGAGCATGGTCCAGGGTAACTCCCAGGTATTTAGGTGTGCTGCAATGCTCCAGTGGGATTCCTTCCCAGGTCATCTTCAGAGCTTGACGTGCTTATCTGTTCTTAAGGTGAAAAGCACACATCTGCATTTTAGATGGATTAAGAATCAGTTAGTTTTCCCTGTAATAGGCAGTAAGAGCACCTAAAGAGCTTCTGTTCTATTTCAAAGCTCCCTCCTTGAGCGGTGATGGCACGGTCGTCAGCATAGATGAAACTCTCTGTCTCTTCTGGCAGTGGCTGGTTATGTGTGTAAATTTTAAACATGGATGGAGAAAGGACGCTCCCCGAGGCAGACCGTTCTTCTGTTTCTGCCATCTGCTTCTCTGGCCCTGGAACTCAACTAAAAAGCTCCTGTTTTGTAGCAGATTTCCTATGAAGTGGGTGAGGCAGTAGTCCTTTGTGATATTATACAACTTTTACAGGAGAAGGCAATGATTTACAGTATCTCATGCTGCTGACAGGTCTATGAAGACAGGTCCTGTAATCTGCTTCCTTTCAAAACCATCTCTATGTGCTGAGTCAGGTTCAAAACTTATGATGTGCAATTTTGCCTTTCCTGCAGCCAACTTGCTGTGAAATCATACATGGGTTTATTTTTTCCATAATTCTATGCAAAATAAGTCTCTCCAAAACATGTCCTGAGGGAAGCCTCCCTGCAGGATTGTAACACATCCAGGCATCCCCTGGGCAACATCTTTGTTGACGGCAGATATCTGGCAGTGAGGACTCATATATTCCAGTTTAAAGCATATAATCTGGGATCAGACCCTGAAATAATGGGCTCTGTGGAAGGGCCTTGAATCTCCGTATGCAGAGAAAAAGCGGGAAATAAAGAAACATAATAATAAATCATCATCAATAATAATAATAATAATAATAATAATAATAATAATAATAAGCTGACACGATATGAGGATTTAAAGATCGAACTGCAAAGACTCTGGCACAAGCCGGTAAAGGTGGTCCAAATGGTGATGGGCACACTGGGTGCACTGCCTAAAGACCTTGGCCTGCACTTAAACACAATCGGCGCTGACAAGACTACTGCAGAAGGCCACCTTACTGGGATCTGCACGCATTATTCGCCGATACATCACACAGTCCTAGACACTTGGGAAGTGTCCGACGTGTGATCCAATACAACAGCCAGCAGAGTGATCTTGTCTGCTGTGGACTCATCTTGTTGTGTTTCAAATAATAATAATAATAATAATAATAATAATAATAATAATAATAATAATAATACTATACAGAGTCCTAGATGCTTGGGAAGTGTTCGACTTGTGATTTTGTGATACGAAATCCAGCATATAGATCTCGTTTGCTGTGACATACTGTGCTTTTGTGTCAGTAAAATAATAATAATAATAATAATAATAATAATAATAATAATAATAAATCAGTTAACTTTGGAAAGCCTGCCCAGCAAGATACGAATGCAACTGCACTTTGCATCTCAGATTTATAGTTTGAGAAATGGGACTTCCTGGATTTTAAACCCTAGGCCTCATCGACACTAGACAATCAGTGCAATCCGGTATTGAAGAAAGTCCTGATGTATTGTCGAAGGTATTGTCACCTCACTACCTCTGAGAATGTTTGCCATAGATGCAGGCGAAACATCAGGAGAGAATGCCTCTAGACCATGGCCATATAGCCCGAAAAAACCTACAACAACCCAAAGTCCTGATGGTTACATAGGAAATCTTGGAGCCGGTTTGAGGCCTGGATGGTGATCACACAAACTGCAGAACACTGATGTTTCAGTGTTTGTTTCATGTGCTCTTGTGGCCATTTGTTGCCTGGACGCAACAAGCTTTAAACTGCATGAAATGGTCATCGTCAAGAGGACTTGACTTTGCCTGCAGCTGGACCTGCGTTGCATTCATGGCTGTGTCAGTTTCATCCCCCTTCTCTGCCCTATGGAATTGTTCAAGTGTAGACTGGGCACTAGTACAGACGCTGGTTTCCATGTTGTGCCTGTTTTGAATGCTTTTTTCTTTTCCCCCCCTTTGAAAGGCCTCCCTTCGGTGGGCTCTCGGCTGAAGAAGCACGACATCGCCGTGGCGCTCGGATGCTCTCCAGGAACTTGGCTGTTCTAGGAATGCATTTCCTGACTGCTCGAGGTAAGGGGGCTGGGCTTGGCTCGGCCACGACCAAAACGTTGGCAACCTGCCACTGGATGTGCAGAAAATGGAGCTGGCTAGCTTCCCCTGCTTTGTAACATACAGGCAGCCCAGCCTGGTGTGTTTTAATGTAGGCTTGGGCTGGATTCGTTTTGGATGTTTGCCTTTGGCTTGTTCGGAAGCCGGTAACGACATGGGCTCTGCCGCCATTTTTTTACCGGCCACAACAGAACAGTGGTTGTTGAAAAAAGGCTGTTTTCTGTTTCTTTCAGTTACACATTAAGGGCAGGGAGGGAGGCAGCCTCTAGAAGGAAAAGGATATAATGACAAACGATGGCTAAAATGATGGGAAGGGGAGCCTGGGAAGTTCCCCCCATAATGGGCCAGATAGAAAATGAATCTTTCAGTTTCCTGGATCGAAAATGGATCTCTGTGCTCCCATATCACCATCGTTGCACCCCAGGCCTGGAGCCACCTATGACCACAGCACCACATAAGAGTCTAGAGTAATAATAATAATAGTAATCTTTATTTATACCCCGCCACCATCTCCCCAATGAGGACTCGGAGTGGCTTACATGGGGCCAAGCCCAGGACAACATGTTACAGCAAAATAAAATCAAAACATAAACAGGAAGCAACATAATCAAAATTACATAAAAGAAAAAAAGTATAAACACAGTAACAAAATAACATTCCAATATACACAATCACGTTTAAAATAAACACTTTATTTATTTGCAGCATTTGTATTCTGCCCTTCTCACCCCAAAGGGGACTCAGGGCGGATCGCAGAACACATACGCAGCAAAAATTCAATGCCGTTAAACAGGACAGACAACAGATAGAGGTATTCTGTCGGCATTTATTTATTTATGTACTATTTATTTACTATACTTGTATACTGCCTTTCTCAGCCTATCGGTGACTCATTTTCCCCAGCTTTGGCGTCCTGGAGGTTGTGCTCAATTCTGGACACAGGGGGTGCTGTTGCTCCATCCTCTATGATGAAGAGCCCTTGATCCCAGACTTCCTCCTTCCTTTGATCACCAGCATTTTCTAGTATTTCCTTTATGGTGCCGTAAAATACCTCCCCGCTGACTGACTACCTTTCAGATAAGGGGGCCTAGATCAGAGAATATTGCCGTTAGAGACCTCACATTTTGGGAAACTTAAGTTTAACACCAAATTGGAACAAAACGAGAACATGATGGTGGGGACTTTTTGAAATTTTAGACCATTTGGCATGGAATGACCCACCTTGTAAGTTACTTATAGAAATCTTTCCTGAAACTGTGTTGGATCTTGATTTTAACTATGAGATGCTAATGAGATGTTTTATTGATTTATATTCACTGTTTATTATGCTACTGTTTTTAATTGTTTTATCATGTTTTTGAGCATTGAATTTTGCTAATGTTAACCGCTCTGAGTCACCCCAGGGCTGAGAAGAGTGGTATACAAATATAGAAAATAAATAAATAAGTAATTTGTAGAAAATACTGAATAGGCCCCAGGATTTTTGCTCTTGGCTCAGAATACAAAGAGCAGGAAAACAAATAATGAGGGAAATCCTCAATTTCCAGACCTTTGTGGAAATGTGTTAAAACATCTGTATCAAAAAAGGCTAAGATATATATATATAGAAAGAGTGAGAAAAAATACAAGTCTGTATAGTCAGTCCTTGGCATCTACTGGGATTTCCCCCCCCCCCCCCAAATCCATAGATACTCAAGTCCTGTTATATACAATAATGTATTAAAGTGGCATATTTATTTATCGTGTCATCAGCAACCATACCATTGTATTACATTTCTGACAGAACAAAACAAACAAACAGATTTTTTTAAAAAAAAACACCAAACAAACAGATTTTGCAAACTTGGTAGTTGATTAAATGTCCTTTGACCAGTATCTGGCCACTTGGAGTGCCTCTGGTGTTGCCGCAAGAAGGTCCTCCATTGTGCATGTGGCAGGGCTCAGGTTGCATTGCAGCAGGTGGTCAGTGGTTTGCTCTTCTCCACACTCGCATGTCGTGGATTCCACTTTGTAGCCCCATTTCTTAAGATGGCTCTGCATCTCGTGGTGCCAGAGCGCAGTCTGTTCAGCGCCTTCCAAGTTGCCCAGTCTTCTGTGTGCCCAGGGGGGAGTCTCTCATCTGGTATCACCACGGATTGAGGTGCTGGATTTGGGCCTGCCACTTTTGGACTCTCGCTTGCTGAGGTGTTCCAGCGAGTGTCTCTGTAGATCTTAGAAAACTATTTCTTGATTTAAGTCATTGACGTGCTGGCTGATACCCAAACAGGGGATGAGCTGGAGATGTCACTGCCTTGGTCCTTTCACTATTGGCTGCTACTTCCCGGCGGATGTCAGGTGGTGCAATACCGGCTAGACAGTGTAATTTCTCCAGTGGTGTAGGGCGCAGACACCCCGTGATAATGCGGCATGTCTCATTAAGAGCCAGATCCACTGTTTTAGTGTGGTGAGATGTGTTCCACACTGGGCATGCATACTCAGCAGCAGAGTAGCATAGCGCAAGGGCAGATGTCTTCACTGTGTCTGGTTGTGATCCCCAGGTTGTGCCAGTCAGCTTTCGTATGATGTTGTTTCTAGCGCCCACTTTTTGCTTGATGTTCAGGCAGTGCTTCTTGTAGGTCAGAGCACGGTCCAAAGTGACTCCCAGGTATTTGGGTGTGTTGCAATGCTCCAGTGGGATTCCTTCCCAGGTAATCCTCAGAGCTCGGGGTGCTTGTCTGTTCTTAAGGTGAAAGGCGCATGTCTGTAAAGTGGCATCTCTTATATCAAATGACCAAACCAAGGTTTTCTTTTTGGGATTTTTTTGCGTAGGCGGAGGGAATATTTTCAATGTTTGAATCCATTGAGGTAACCTGGTAACACAACCCAGGGAGGATCAAGCAATGCCGACTGTGGAGACTTCCCTGCTTGGTCTCAGAATTCAATTTTATCTGAAGGCAAGGCTATTGCTGTTTCCTTCCCCTGCACTTCTGCGTCCATTTGTATTCTTATGATCTAGGGGCGTCTGTTTGGATTTGAAACGTTACCCTCTTTGCCCTGTGAGGAGAGGTGCCTCCCAGTATGGATAGCGATGTTTCCTTCAAAGGGCCGTGAAGCCAACCGGCCAGTCACTTGAACGGCTGTCCTTTAAGTCTGTGCCAGGACTCTCCTGTGGCGATGTCAGCAACCTTTGGCCTTTGCGTGTGGCTTTGACAAGAGGTCACGAACCACCATGAAAGGCTGAGCACTGAGGGACAAATACAGGATTAATTACAGAAGGGGCGAGGAATGGCGAGCCATAAGAGTCAACCTCCCTGGCCCTGTTTGGTTGGAAGTACGTATGGCTTCAGGTTGGCTTTCAGGTCAAAACAGGGGGCAGGTAGTCCTCACCTTAAACGGAGATGCGCTGTTGTTTGGATGAAACTGTGTGTGGATAGAGAGCACATATTAGGATGTGTTACATTTGTATTTGTCTTTCCTCAAATGAGATCTGAGCTGATGCGTGGGTCTTGCCTTCCTCCCTTTGTCTTCCCAGCAATACTGTGCATTGGGTCAGAAGTCTCAGCAGGGACTTCAACCCAAATTAAATTATTATTATTATTATTATTATTATTATTATTATTATTATTATTATTATTATTAGAAACACAACAAGTTGAGTCCACAGCAGACACTCTGCTGGCTGTTGTATTGGATCACACATCGGACACTTCAACCCAAATTAAATCCTTATTATTATTATTATTATTATTATTATTAGAAACACAACAAAATGAGTCCACAGCAGACACTCTGCTGGCTGTTGTATTGGATCACATATCGGACACTTCAATACAAATTAAATCCTTGTTATTATTATTATTATTATTATTATTATTATTATTATTACAGAGGCAACGATTCGATACCCAAGAACATCATAAAACATTTAAAACAATAATACATAGTATAAAACCGAACCAAAGTAACAAAAACATATGACATTTGCGTCTCCTAATTAAAAACATTATCCATCTCGTCGTCCAGTCGTTCTAAGTTCCTATGTTTATCTTATGATTTTTTTCTCTTTTAGTGTTATTTTGATGATGTTGTTGATGTTTGCTGTATATGTTTTGATTTTATTGCTGTATTATGTTGTCCAGGCTTGGCCCCATGTAAGCCACTCCAAGTCCCCATCAGGGAGATGGTGGCGGGGTAGAAATAAAGATTATTATTATTATTATTATTATTATTATTATTATTATGTCTTTTACATTGCATTTTCAAACACTTGCTCGAACAGCCAGGTTTTGACTCTTTTATGGAATGCTAGGAGGGAAGGGGCCAATCTAATGGCCCCAAGAAAGGCGTTCCATAGCCGAGGGACCACCATTGAGAAGGCCCTGTCTCTCGTCCCCACCAAACGTGTTTGTATCGCAGGTGGGATCGAGAGCAGGGCCTCCCCGGACGATGTTAAAGTCCTAGTAGGTTCATAAGGGGAGATGCGTTCGGACAGGTAAGTTGGGCCATTTAGCGCTTTATAGCCTAAAGCCAGCACTTTGAATTGTGCCCGGTAGCAGATTGGCAGCCAGTGGAGCTGGTACAACAGAGGAGTTGTATGCTGTCTGGGCGTCACTCCTGTTATTAATCTGGCTGCCGTCTGTTGGACCATTTCAAGCTTCCATACAGTCTTCAAAGGCAACCCCACGTAGAGCGCGTTGCAGTAGTCTATACGGGATGTAACCAGAGCGTGGACTACCATGGCCAAGATGATGTTGTTTGGTAGATGTTGTTGTTTGGTAGGAAGCTGCATGTTTTGTCACGCCAAGCTAGATGCGTTATCTGTATTCTACCTTTTCCTCAAGAGTAGGACTCAAATTGTTGAGGATGTTGACCTTTTCACATGGTTGTCTTCATTCTGACCCCAAAACCTGCGTCTCTATCTGTCCAAACATTGGCCACCTAGGCATGGAAATCATTTACTGGGATCTGGTGTTGTCTACTCA